GGTCCGCTACTTTGGCACCAGGCTTGGCTCTCCCGGCACCCTCTGCAACCGTGAGGAAGAAGCTAAGCTGAAGGCAAATGGGCTCGGCGCGGAGTTGCAGAGGCGCCGCGTCGAGACCCTGCTGATCGAGACGTGACGCAGGAGGCCAGCGAGGCGTCCTCCTCGCTCCTCGTGGCCATCGGCGTAGCGCGGCGCCACCAGCTCACGCTCTGCCGCCTGCTCCACCAGCTGGAGGAGGAGGACGACGGCGGCGGGGTCGAGGGACGCGGTGGCGGCGCACGTCCGCCTCGACAACCCGCTGTCGCCGGGCCGCCTCGCGGGGTTCCACGAGGTGCACGGGTGGAGCGGCGCGCCTGGCGTCGGCGCAGCGCCGACTGCGGCGTCTGGCCCGCGCGGTGCTCGTGGCGCGGGGCACGGCCGCGGCGGCACTCGTGGCGGCGTGCGCGGCCGCCGTCGTGGCCGCTGTGGTGTTCGCCACGCAAGCGTTGGTGGGCGTCGGTCGTCAGGGCACGGATGGCCGCATGGTGGTGCGCCGCGCGCACGACGAGCTGGAGCACGGCCGCGACGTGGCGCGCATCGCGGTGCGCGGCCGCGGCGAGCGACCGCTGCTGCAGGAAGTGGCAAGGGAGGAGGCGGAGTGCGAGGAGGGCCTCAGGGCGCAGCTGGAAGATGGTGGCGCACGAGATGACGCGGGGATTGCCTTCAGAGAGATTCATGACAGAGAAGACATCTTCACTATATTAATATGCTAGATCATTCAATACAACACCTCCAGTCCTTGCTTCAATAATCAGCATGCACAACCTGCTGAGCCTGGGATGGTAGGGCTGCTGGAACAAGATGCATGTCTTGAGGAACAAACTGCGCCTGGACCTGTTGTGCAGGAGCGATAGCAGGCCGGTTTTGGTGCCATGAAAGCAGAACTGGCGCAAGTTTGGCGCCGAAACGATGCCCAGGGCCAGGAGCGACTGTCGGCGGTGGCATACAAGGAACCGCTGAGCATTTTGCAACGCACATCAGCGGAGGGCAGAATGGACATTTCGTCCTCTAGTTAAGGCACTTTAGAGGCAAAGTTGACGGCAGTGCCTCGTAAGGGATGGAATTTGTGAACCGGTTGACAAGGAAGATAGAACTTTTCTGGTGTAAGGAAGTTGCATCTTTTATAATGGTCTACATGGAATTCTTTCGAAGATTCATTTTCATTTTCGGGTCTCGAGGAGTGAGAAGAGCAGTGAAATGTCACTTTTGCCCTCTGCCACTTTCTTCTTCCCCTCTCTTCTCTTCTTCTCTCCGCGTCCTCCCGGCGTCCAAGGCGGAGGTCGCCGTCAAGATCGTGTCCACGCAAGGGATGAAGCAGTTCGTCGTGGAGGTCGTCAGCATCGGCCGACTGCGTCACCGCAACGTCGTGCAGCTGCTCGGCTCCTGCCGGCGGAAAGGCGAGCTTCTCCTGGTGTACGACTTCATGCCGCCCCTGATCTGGGAGCAGAGACTCCGCGCCATCAGGGGCGTCGCGGCCGGCTTGCTCTACCTACACGAGGACTAGGAGCAGGTGGTCATCCACCGCGACGTCAAGGCCAGCAACGTGCTCCTCGACGGCGAGATGAACGCTCGGCTCGGTGACTTCGGGCTCGCACGGCTGTATGAGCGCGGCGCCGGCCCGCAGAGCACGCACGTGGTGGGCACCATGGGGTACCTCGCGCCGGAGCTCGCGCAGACCAGGCGCGTGACGCCGGGCACGGACGTGTTCGCGTTCGGCTCCTTCGTGCTCGAGGTGGCGTGCGGCCGGCGGCCCATCGAGCGCAGAGACGATGACGGCCGGTTCTTGCTGGTGGACTGGGTGCTGGAGCTCTGGCACATGGGTGCCCAGCCGGCCTGCCCTGGCCGCGGAGGCTGCGGGCCACCCGCGCCCTGTGCTCGCCCGGCTCGACGGCCACCGCCTCGGCCTTCGCTCCTTCGCCCGACAACGCCCGGCTCTCCCAGATGTAGAGCAACGAGGGCCCGCGGATGGAAGCGAGGAGCCAGCCGGAGCCGTGGTGTCAGTGGAGCACGGAGCCCGGTGCTACGCCGTGTGCCTCGTCGAGGTTGAGCCAGTGGAGCACGGCCCACGCCGCGCGGCTACGCTGTCTCGCTGTCTCGCTGTCTCGCTGTGCCCGTGAGCCGAGCATCTGGCCAATCTGTCTCGCTGTCTCGGCTCGAGAGCTCGAGCACGCCATTGTTCGCCGAGCTGAGCTCGAGCTTGACTCCGCCGTGCCCTGCCACCTGGAGACCATCCCCGCGCGGTCGGAGGAAGAAGAAATAGGTATGGGCATAACTGATATTTCATCGCTCTTCCCTCTCCTCGAAAGTTAGAAAAGAATATTTTATTTGGTTTAGTGTCCACCAGTAAATTTGATAAGAAGCAAAATGTCTATCAGCGAACTGCTCTATTTTAGATGTCCAGCAGCAAAGGGAGATCACTTTCAATGTTTCGTAGCCAATTTTATCTAAATTCTTTGGTGCTACAGTTACGTTACCCCTGTGGTAAATTAAAGGAGATACAGAAAAACAAAAAAGCAATTGTCTTAGGACATCTGCTCCGTACTCCTCTTTCTAAAAATTATACGCATCTCAAAGTAATCTATTAAACTAATTAAATATTTTCTTAATATGTTTTGTTTGGGTAACGCTTGGCCAGCCCGTTCAACCCAGTCCTGAGTCCAGCCCTGACCCAAAGCTAAAGTAATTAAGGTCCCCATCCCGTCTGTTCCAAGCTTCTCCGTTTTCACGTGGATTCGTTGAAGGAGACGACTACGATGAGCGGACTCGACGGAAGTTCCATTCTTACCGACGGTGAGTGAGGACGATGCCTCCATGCCCCTCCTACATTGTTTAACATCAAACTCCTCCAATTCCTCCATCTGTGATCCTCGCAACTCATGTACAGATCCTAAGAGGCAACTTATTTGCATGTTCAGGAAGTGAACGAGATTTTGGCCCCACGCAGATGATGGCCAAACCAGAATTGTCAGCACATGTTCATGTTCGTTCGTCAGGCATAAAAAAATTCTTAATGCAGTGCAATTGCCTGAAAGAGGCATACAAACTGTCAAATATACACAATCCTTCAACATTTGTAGTTCTGTACCGAACTGAAGAAGTGTAAGCTGACACTATTAGAGATTCGATTTAGGGTTATACTTAAAATAATGTTTAAGCGGAGACAAAAAATGCAAATGTATTTTTGGAAGCCTGAGAGAGGACAGCAGCCCGGTCAAGGACGACGTAGATGGAGGCATCGGACCTCCTCACGCCAAATGGAACGGCGCCTTCGGAGGTCCTTGCCGGCTGCCAGCACACGACGAAACGGGATTGGAGGAGGAGGATGGGGGTGCCCGCCATTCGCTCAGTTCTCCGGTTGCAGTTTTTCCGGAATAATCGGCACAACGGCGCCGTCTCCTTCAATTCAACGGATCGGAGCAGTACGGAAAAGAGGGGACGGGAGACCCGACTTTAGGTTTGGGTAGGGGTATGGACTCAGGACTGGGTTGGATGGGCTGGGCCTAAACGTGATCCAGATACAGAAAGTGTTTAATCATCTAATAGGCTGCTTTGAGATGTGTGCGACTTTTAAGAGGAGGAGTACCAGAGCAGTTCTCTTGTCTAGGTGACACTTCCGGTGTTTATTACGGGCCTTGGTTTTCTACATGTGAGTTTTGGGCTTTTGGCCCACGTATGTTTCCATAAACCAAACTGGTACGGCAGCAAACACGAGAAGCAGCAGCTCTGATCCGACTCGATCATGCGCGATGTCCTCCACATCGAGTTGGACGTCGACGACCACGCCGGCACCAGACCTGACGTCGCCGAGTGCCCCGGCCGGCGGGCCGCCGCAGGTGCTGGCGCGGGACCCGACGGCGACATCGGAGCGCGAGACGACGACGACCATCCAGATCCGGCAACTGAGGGATCGCGCGAACGCGCTGCGGTGGGAGCTCAACGCGGCGGCGGACGCGACCGAGGCGGCCAAGATGGCCACGAGGCACGCGGAGCGGTGCGCGCGGGAGGCGGCGGCAGAGCTCCGCCGTCTCGACGTGGTGAGGACGAGTGGGACGCAGGCCGAGAAGAAGCTGCGAGAGCTGGGCGAGGAGCTCAGGGACAAGGACGCACGGATCAAGCTGCTCGAGACCATCGTCGCCACCCTCGCCGACAACAAGTGAAGGCAGGCATGCAATTTCCATGTTCGAGTCCGTGTCGTGTACGTGTGGCCGCCGCATGCACACGACGAGAGCCTGCGTGATATGGTACTACTACTATTATTACACGAGTTTTGAGGATGTGTAAAAACATGAAAGGATGAAAAATTCTAGGAAACGATGATTGCACTCCATTGACTAGAGCCCATTTGAACTGACTAAAATAAATTATTAGCATCGACCCCTCATGTTTACGAGCACGATCAAACAATATACGAACCGGATGTAAGACATGTTGTCTGAACAAATATAAATCTAGGCTCAAAAAAGAATCAGTATAAATTCTAAGTCTCTGGGCCTGTTCATTTGGTTGAGACTTGGTCTTTGGTTTGAAATTTGCTGGTGCTTTGGTTTTTGTGAGAGAGAAAAACACTGTTGGTTATTTGGTTTAAATTTGGTTGAACCCAAACAATGAACAATTTGTCTGAATACTAAGTCGTGCAAAGCCCATACATAACAGTACGTATAACACTAAATTTACTCATAAAAGAAAAATACTTTTATTTATAGTATAGATGTAACTGAGGAACGCAAAGTGCTTCCACGGAGATGCCACTCAACTGACGGAACTGCTCGCATCGATCAGACATCAAGCAGCAACGCTATGGGTGCAGGACGGCGCGAAGAACCTGGGTTGTTTGCTTCAGCGAGTAATTAGCTAGCAAAACTCCGTTGGCTTCGTAGCCAGCATGACAGGCGGGCACATGACTCTTATATGAGCATTAGCATTGCTGCTTGGTGCTTCCATTGGGGAAAGTTGAATGTGCCTTACGGGCATGTGTCCCTACGCACTGCGCCGTTGGATTCGCACACTTCTCGATGCGAATCCAATGGCGCATCGACACGAACGGCATGCACTCCGATCCGGCAGATGTGCGTACACTCTGCAGAGAGCCAAACTTTGCACGTCGTATACGCGAAATTCAGCACGGGGAAAATACTCGTGATGTTCTTGCAAACATTAGCAGGGAAGCCATCGCACTCCGGACGACAGCTCTTGTGGCAGTCGCCCTGCACGTCGGCCATCGCAGCCGGCGGACCCATGAATAACAGGACCAGGGCGATGCAGGCAAGCCTGAACACGGCGCCATTAGCGGAAGCCATTGATCGGAAGTACTAGCTTAGGGACGCAGCTGAGTAGCTAATAAAGGTAGATGAAGAAAGCAAAATAAGATTGCAGTGTCAGCTGATGGCCTGATGTGCAAGCAGAGATGTGCTATTTGTAGCAGCGAACCATGGAATCTGTCTGACTTCACATCACAGTTGTGCAGTTCGGACCCGGGGCGGCGTGGGAAGGCTGGTGCGGCTCCGGAGTGCTGGGTGGCACAGGAGGGCGACGAGGCTCTGCATCGTCCAGCTGGCCGGGGCGGCGAGGCACGGCACCGGAGTGGCGATGCGGCGAGGCGAGATGCAGCGCTGTAGTGCCGAGGCAGCAGGTTGCACACCAGGGCAGTCTCTGACATATGGCCCCATGGCTTGAGATGGAAGGCAGCCTTCGGATCTGATTTGGAGGGCAGGGATGAGGAGAAAGTTACCGCGTGACTTTACAGAGGCAAGTCACTGAATCTCAGTCCCCGTGTCGTGTACGCGTAGCCACCGTGCATGCACACGAAAATCTGTGCGATAGTGCCGATATGGTACTACTATATCTATATCTATGTTCATATACGAATTATTATATGAGTTGATGTGTAAAGACATGATGGAAGAATTCCAGGCCACGATGATTGCGCTAGCTGCACTAGAGCCCATTGAATTGACTAAAATAAATATTGGCTGTTAAAACAAGCTAAGTAAAATATATAGCTTATTTTGAATTATGCGAAGCCCACACGCGTAATTTATTGATAATAGAAAAGGTATTTTATTATAACATATTTGTCCACAACAAAATTTTCTAATGGTGTGTAACATTTCTCAATATCATCGGATGATATAGAAGGAATATCTGACGCAAGAACGGAGCATAAGACTTCGTTATTTCTTTTCTTGACCTAAGGATGGAGCACAAGACTTCAACTGCCGGCATGAGCATGTTTATGACCTGAGTTGGTCTAGTCCTCTTGTTTTATCCTCCATGTGGACGGCACAAACAACGCTACGCTAGTCGCTAGCTAGGGTTGGACCTGTCAAATGTACTGGAACCTGCCGGATCTTGATGATGAACTTCTGCTCCGTCGTCCTTCTATAAATCCAGGTCAGGGGCTCCGGCTTTTCTACCCAAAAGAAGTGGTGTACGCTAAAACAACGTCTCTTTGAACTTTGAAGCGGCAAGATGTCGGGGAAGAAGGCCAGCGAGTTCAGCAACGAGGAGGAGGTGATCGCCGAGTTCGACCGGCTGACGCGGAACGCCGCCACCGTCCAGCGGGAGACGCTGCGGCGGATCCTCGACGAGAACGCCGCCGTTGAGTACCTCCAGCGGCATGGCCTCGCCGGCCGCACCGACCCGGACACCTTCCGGGCCTGCGTGCCGCTCGCCACGCACGACGACCTCGAGCCCTACATCGCCCGCGTCGCCGACGGCGACACCTTCCCCGTCCTCACCGCCAAGCCCATCACCTCCATCTCCCTCAGGTTCGTCTTAATTCGTCATCGGTTTCAGTACTGTGTGTTGCTGCTGCTAAGCTTGGCCTTTGCCAATCCATGTCCATCGTAGCTCCGGCACGACGCAGGGGAAGCGCAAGTACCTGCCCTTCAACGACGAGCTATTCAAGCTGACCATGCATGTACTGGACCTCCTTCGCTTACAGGAACAGGTACGTATGACACGTAAGCATGACTCACGCACGCGGCACGTACGCCGGCGCACGTCCGGCCTATCGTCGTCTTTCTGATTGACGCTCCAACGACCGACCGGCGGCATCCTTTCCGGTCCATCATGCACGATCTCTCTGTCTTTCTTCTTTAGGCTCTGGTCTAATCCAGTAGAGCAGTAGTTCGTTCGCTCGACGATATGCGGTCGCCTGTTGCTAGTAGCTAGCTAGCTACTGCACATCATTTCATCTGATCGCAACGTCGTCCGGCCAGGGCGTTCCCCGTCGAGGGCGGCGGCAAGGCGCTGCAGTTCGTCTACGGCAGCCGGCAGTTCACCACCAAGGGTGGCCTGACGGCGGCCACGGCCACCACCCACCTGTACCGCAACGAGGGGTACAAGGCCGCGGTGCGCGACATCCAGCTGCCGTGCTGTAGCCCCGACGAGGTGGTCTTCGCCGCCGCGGACTTCGCGCAGTCGCTCTACTGCCACCTCCTCTGCGGCCTGCTCTTCGCCGGCGAGGTCCGGGCCGTGTTCGCCATGTTCGGGCACAACCTCGTGCTCGCGTTCCAGACGCTGGAGCGGGTGTGGGAGGAGCTGTGCCACGACATCCGCCACGGCGCCCTGTCTCCAGCGCGGGTCACCGAGCCGGCGCTCCGCCGGGCCGTGTCCGCGCTCCTCGCGCCGCCGAACCCCGCGCTCGCCGACGAGGTGGCGCTCAGGTGCGCCGAGGCCGGGCTCTGCGACTGGCGCGCGGGTGGTCCCGGCGCTGTGGCCCAACGCTAGGGTACGTGCACACGATCGTGACGGGGTCCATGGAGCACTACGTCAGGAAGATCCGGCACTACGCCGGTGGCCTTCCGCTGGTCGCCATGGATTACGGCGCGTCGGAGGGTATGGTCGGTGCCAACGTCGAGCCGGAGGTGCCCCCGGAATCAGCAACGTTCGCCGTGGTCCCAGACATCGCCTACTTCGAGTTCATCCCTCTCAAGACCAACGACGGCGGCGGAGCGGCCTGTACCGATACCGGCACGAGCTACAACACCGAGGCGGATCCCGTCGGCCTGACGGAGGTCACCGTCGGCGAGCACTACGAGGTCGTCATGACCACCTTCGCAGGTACATTCATCAGTTCATGCATGTTCGTTGCATACCATGTAATGCATCGTATGCAGGTAAGTTGAAATGGCACGCAGGCTTGTACCGGTACCGTCTCGGCGACGTGGTGAAGGTGGCCGGCTTCTACAACTCGACGCCGAAGCTCAAGTTCGTGAGCCGAGGGGATATCGGTCCCACGCTGTGCATCAACGTCGACAAGAACACCGAGCTGGACGTGAAGCTCGCCGTCGATGGCGCGGCCGAGATCCTGGCTGCCCGGAACACGTCGTTGGAGGTGGTGGACTACACCAGCCACGCGGACGTGTCGTCCGACCCGGGCCACTACGTCGTCTTCTGGGAGCTCAGCGGCGAGGCCGACGACGACGTGTTGCAGCGCTGCTGCGACGAGCTGGACCGGCGCTTCGTCGACGCTGGGTACGTGAGCTCGAGAAGGACGCGCGCCATCGGGCCCCTGGAGCTGCGGGTACTACGGCGGGGCGCCTTCCAGAAGGTGCTGCACCACTACCTCGCCCTCGGAGCTTCGGCGAACCAGTTCAAGTTCCCGAGGTGCGTCGCCCGGTCCAACTCCGGCGTCCTCCAGGTCCTCTCCGACAACGCCGTCAAGATCTTCTTCAGCACAGCCTACGACTGAAGATGGCAGAGGCACACGGTGGCGCGGCGATCCCTGACAACTCAGGCGGTTTGTGAGTGTGACATAATTTGGCGCGAGAGCGACCCGTTTTCTTTTGACAAGTTGCACTCCCCTGCATGCCTACATGTTTTCTGCATCTTTTTTGTTTGGCATTATTTTAAGCATGTGGCCTGTTTGTAATAAGGCTATAATGGACATCATAAAATACAATAGACTTTTTATGTCAGTTATCGGTTAAAATATAATAATAAAACTTTGTTGATCTGTGAATGCACACTAAAAATCATATCCTCTGTTTTTTAGAAGCTGCTAGAGATTTGTGCCGTTTTTCCATTGGATGAAAAAACAAATTGCTTTCCCGTTTGGCCTATGTCCACATGATCCCGCAATCTAACATTTGATTTGGTTTCCTCCCTCCAACTATGTCAATTGGTATGATTTTGCTCTTAACAGGATTTGCTTTTTTTTTTTGTTTCTCCACATACAAGGTGAGTCATAATTTCAGATTTTTTTAGGGCTATAATGGGCATCATAAATCATTTAAAAATACATTACGAATCTTCTTCATTATATTTTATACAATTTCAGCTATCGCACTCAAATAAAAAAACAACTTGAGCATGCAAAAACAATAAAAAAAAACTCCTTTTTAGGGTCAAATTAGACTAACTAAAATAGTTGAAAAGGACTAAACAGAATCAAAATGTTAGTTTAGAAGAAGGTTATCCGGATATATGCCAAACTGACTAATAGTAAAGTATGAATTACGTTGTTAAGTAATGATGGTTCCTCCATGTCAAAATGATAAGCGTATTTTGTACAATAAAAAGTCAACTCTGAACACAATTAAAATTATATACAATTTTCGGACAAAAAATGGCATGAATAGATTTGTTTTCAAAGTACCTAGCTATGGATAGTTGGTTTGTCAAGGAAACACTTCAAACTTTTTTTGTGTGTGTGCATGTTTATAACTATATGCCGCTTATGTTTGTTAAAACTCAATGGCCAAAGTATGCATCAAAGAAAATTATACATGATTTGAAAAATTAAAATAATATAATAACCTTTTTTTGGTTGCAGAACCATCACAAAAACTGCGCTATTAAAATCAGTTTTGCAAAGCTACACATGTTTTCTAATTTCATGTCAAAAAAGTGTAGTTTTGTGATATGTATGACAATGTAAGTGCGAAGATGATTCACCGCAGTGTCCTTTTAGCAATAAAGGATGTCACTAAAAGTATATTTTTTTGTGAAACTGAAATTTGAAAGTGCAGGCTCTTCGTGATGTTTTTCCAGTAGGATTTTCGAAATTAATTAAGAAAATATATAATGGGCCGCCAGGCCATTAATGGGCCGTCATCTTGCAGTGCCTGCTACCTGTCGGCATTCGTTTTAAGTTTGGGGAGGTAACGTAGACTTTTTCAATGTCCTTGTGAATTTTGGCCCAAACTAAGCCCAAAACCTAGAGACGATGGCGGCTCTTTACGGTTCGGTCCACCAGTCCAATTTCTTATAGTCCCTTCACCTTCTACTCTCTAGGTAGCATTACGTCATTCCATTGAAGTGTTACGTTATGCAGTTTTTAAGAGTGTCACGTCATCTCTAGATATCTAAATTAATAAATGAAACAGCTTCTCTCAATACACTACTTTCATTTCATAATTTATAGGCTAACCAAAAGCATTTAATTACTTCATGAAGTTGCGAGTAAAACGCTTGAAGATGAAACAAATTACTTTTACGTAGTGTTTGGTTGGATGTTTCGTAGCGGTATCTAATTGCAGCGGCAACTAAAAACGTTAGATTCTATTTGTTTTCTCCCCACTGTAAACAGATCATTGATACCGCTGAAACCGAGGTGTAATATGTTCGGCTCGTCTATTCCGTCTTCCTGCTCGGTTGCTTCGTCTCCCCCCCCCGCCCCCCCCCCATAATCTTCGTCCGGCGCCGCCCATCCCCATTGCCTCCTCACTTCCTAGCGTGACTCCATCCCTTCCGGTCATGGATCGAGCAGTACGGATGCCTCGGGAGTCCAAGCACGCGATCCGGGCGATGCCGACGGCGCCGGACGTGGCCGTCTGGGGCGCGCTGCTCTCCGGGCGCCGCGCCGGCTGCACGACGACGTCAATTTGGGCGTGCACGCGGCGTGCGAGGCCGTGCGGTGTGACCCCGTGGGACATCGGCACGTACGTGCTCGTGGCCACCGTGCTGGCATGTGGCGGAGACCCCGGCCGCGGCGGATTCCGGATGCACGAGTTTCATCTGTGTGGCCGTTTATCCGATTCCTTAACGGATGTGGCAACCAAACAAAAAAATCAGTATTCGCTTAATTTGTTTCCATTAACGGTGTCTTCCATTACTATTTGCATTTACGTTTACATAATGCAACCCAACAGCACCTTAGTGGAGTTTCATTCCATACTCGTATTTTCGTAGCCTTGGTAACTCTGTCCATCAGGTTTCATCCTCATAAAACCCAACTCTATACTTCCTTATAAATTTCATGGCATGCAACTAGTTTTGTATGTTATTTAATGACATTAAAACTAACTTGTCGGTGTTTCGGACCGGGGGTCCTCAACCGACTAGTGAATTTATTCTACGTGCTCCCGATTCCGGATGGTGATGTAAAGAGACACAAGGTTTATACTGGTTCGGGCAATCGAGGCCCTACGTCCAGTCTGAGAGATCGATCTTGTATTCCTTGCACCGAGGTGCTCGTAGTAGGGGGTTACAAGCTAAAGGAGAGAGGGAACTGGTCCCAGGTCTCGGCAGGGTGTCGTGCGGGCCGCTTGAGACGTTGCTCTCAGGCGACAGGGATGTGTGTGTATGTGTGTGTGTTACCAGGTTTTTTTCTGGCCCCCCCTAAGTGGCCCAAGTCCTCTCCTTTTATAGTTGAAGGGAGGACAAGGACCGTACATGTATTACTATGCGGCGTCGTGCCAATAGGGGTGGCACGTCCGAGCCCTGTGGCCTGTCCCTGTGGTGGCGTGGTCGTCGGAGTGGTCCATCCTTGGAGTACTGGGGCGGCGTGGTCGTCCCATCAGATCCTGTGCGTCGTGGGAGCCCCGGGAATGCCTCGGAGTGGACGCGGCGGCGAACGTGCAAGCCACTGTGGACGGACTGTGCGTGAGGCCGAGACTTGGTCGGTGCCGAGGTGGCTTCTTGGTGGGGGGTCTCGGCGAGCACGAACCCCAAGATCGCCGAGGCCCGGTGTCTGATCTGCGAGGCCTTGAGCGGGCGGCCGATCATGGGTGCAGCATTTGACACAAGTGGTCGGTAATCCCGTCGTACCTGTCCCGGCCGGTATGGCGGTGATCGTGGACACAATGGCGGTAATCCCCGTCGTGCCTGTCCCACCGGTATGTGGCGCCGATCGTGGACACGGTGGTAGGACACGATGGCGGTAATCCCGTCGTGCTCTGTCACGGCGGTATGGCTGATGCACGACCTCGGTCGCGTCGGCCATCTGTGGCGTTGAGCCACCGTCCGGCTGAGATTGCGGGAGTGGTTGAAGCATTAATGAGACATGACGAGTGCCGGGGGAGGGTCGGCCGAGGCGGGGGGGCGACGGACCGTGGACGAGCCGACCTCGGCGACACGGAGAATGAGGCCTCGCGCGAGGCGGAGATCAGGTTCCTTGCCGAGGCCTTGCGCGAGACGCCTCGCGCGATACGGAGAATGTACCCCTGCCGAGGCCTTCCCTGGAGAGCCTCGGGCGAGACGGAGGCGGCGCCCCTGCCGAGGGCTCGGCGCGCCCCACCGAGGCCTACAGGGAGCCTCACGCGAGGCGGAGTTTGTTGAGAGACCTCCTGCCGAGGCTCGAGGCGAGGTGGAGGAGGGGCTCGGTCGTGGGGTGAGGGGCCCACGGCTTACCTTCTAGCTTTATTTTGATGTTTGCTTGGGGTACCCCGTTCTAAGGTACCCGACAGTAGCCCCCGAGCCTCGGGGTGAGTGCGTGCACTCTCCCTGAGGGTTCGTCGAGGCTGGGTTTATGCCTGCTCCGTAGGAATTGGTTTGTTTTTGAGGTTCCGGTGGAGTGTGTGAGCGCACCCACGGGTGAGTGTCTTGAGAGCCTGGAGGGTGAAGTTACTCCTCCAGGGGCTTTCTCCATTTTCGCGTTTGAGTGATCAGTTCTTATTGCATTTGCCGAGCCCATAAGCGCAAGTTCGGGTTGCGGGGGTCTCGGCGAGGTTGCAAAAAGGCCCTCTAGCCTCCGCATGGAGCGAGAGGTTCGTCGAGGTCCCCGGCGTTGGGTATATCCTCACGCTTCCTTTCGCTCGGAAGGAGGGGTGGAATGTGCCATGCTACCCTCGATGGGCGCGAGCGTGGACACTTTCGGTGAGCTGTTGTTATCGGGTAGTCCAGTGGAGGCCCGAGCCCGTTCGCTAGGGGCGGCTAGCGGTCGAGACGCACTCCAAAAAGTACCGGAGGATTTCTCTAGTGGGTGCCGAGGCCGTTCGGCTGGGCTTCGGTGGCTCGGTGCCTCCCTACGGTGGGATCCCATTCGGATACTTTCCGCCGGTCTCGGACACGACTTAGGACGCCCCGAGCGATTGTTCGTTCGGGCCTGGGCCATTCGTAGGCTCGCCCCGAAGTCGTCCCTGACTCTGTTGCCCTGGGGCGGCTGTCAAAACCTCTCGGAGGCCCAGCCTTCGAATCCCTGGACCATAACGGGCTCGGTGCCCTTTATCGTGTTTTTGTCTTGGTTTTTGGGTGCGAGAGGAGCCCCCGAGCCTCCTTTGGAGCAAGAGGACGTCGGGGGTCTCTGACTTTTTCATTCGCCCCTCACATATCCTTTTCGTTTGGATGGAGGGTTCATTTGCCAAGCCCATTCTGGTCTCGGCAAGGTCGCAGGAAGAGCCCCTAGCCTCTGAGCAGAGCGAGAGGGCCGTCGGGAGTTCCCCTGACTTTTTATACGCCCCCTCGCACGTGAGGGGTTTGTTTGCCGAGCCCATTCGGTCTCGGCAAGGTCGCAGGAAGAGCCCCTAGCCT